AAAGCTGTTTTAAGAAGAAAATTCATCGCAATACAGGCACATCTTAACAAACAGGAAAAAAACCAAATAAGCAATGTTAAACTACACCTAACTGAACTAGAGAAAGAAGAACAAATAAAGCCCAAAGTCAGCAGAAGGAGAGAAATAATAAAAATCAGAGCAGAAATAAATACTATTGAAACAAAAAAGGCAATAGAAACGATCAATGAAACAAAGAGCTGGTTCTTTGAGAAGCTAAATAAAATTGACAAACCCCTAGCCAGACTTACAAAGAAAAAAAGGGAGAAAGCTCAACAAAATCAGAAATGAAAGAGGAGAAATAACAACAGACTCTGCAGAATACAACGGATTATAAGAGAATACTATGAAAAACTCTCTGCTAACAGAATGGATAACCTAGAGGAAATGGATAAATTCTTGCACTCCTACAATCTCCCAAAGCTCACTCAAGAAGAAGCAGACAATTTGAACAGACCAATCACAAGGAAAGAGATTGAAACAGCAATCAAAAACATCCCAAAGAATAAAACCCCAGGACCAGATGGCTTTCCTGGGGAATTCTACCAAACTTTCAGAGAGGAAATAATACCTATCCTTTTCAAGCTATTCCAAAAAATTAGGGAGGATGGAATACTTCCTAACAAATTCTATGAGGCCATCATCATGCTGATACCAAAGCCATACAAGGACACCACAAAAAAAGAGAACTACAGGCCAATATCACTGATGAACATAGATGCAAAAATTCTAAACAAAATTTTGGCAACCAGAATTCAGCAATTCATCAAAAGGATCATACATCATGATCAAGTGAGATTCATACCACGAACACAGGGATGTGTCAACATCCGAAAATCAATCAACATGCTACACCACATCAACAAACTGAGAAATAAAAACCACATGATCATTTCCATAGATGCAGAGAAAGCATTTGACAAGATCCAACAGCCATTTATGATAAAAAAAAAACTCTGAACAAAACAACAGAACAGAGACACAAAACACATTTTATGGTATTAATGTCATATTTTAACATCTTTTTATATTGTGTATCCATGAATGCATTCTTGAAGGTATAATTTTTTTATACTTTTGTCTTTTAACTTTTATACTAGTGTTAAAAGTTATTTACATACCACCATATTACAGTGTTGGAGTATACTGAGTTTGACTATATACTTGCCTTTATAGTGATTTTTATACTTTCATGTGTTTTCATGTTGCTAATTAGCATCTTTTCATTTCTACTTGAAGAACTCTCTTTTGCGTTTTTTGTAAGACGAGTCTAGTGGTAATGAAGTGTTTCAACTTTTGGTTTTCTGGGAAAGTCTTATCTCTTCTTCATTTCTGAAGGACAACTTTACTGGATATGGTATTCTTGGTTGGCAGTGTCTTTTGTTCTTTCAGCACTTTGAAAATATCATCCCACTCTTTCCTGGCCTGCAAGGTTTCTGCTGAGTAATCCGCTTATGGTCTTACGTGGGTTCCCTTATATGTAACAAGTCATTTTTCTCTTACTGCCTTCAAAATTCTCTTCATCATTGACTTTTGATTATTTATTTATAACATCTCTTTTGAAGACCTCCCTGTGTTCAATCTATTTAGCATTCTTTTGGCTTTATGTATATTTCCCTCCCAAGATTTGGCAAATTTTATGTCATTATTTCTTTAAATAAGCTTTCTGCCCTTTTCTCTGTCTCTGCTCCTTCTGGGACTCCGATAATGCATAAAAGTATTTCTTTTGATGGTGTCCCATAAATACCATAGGCTTTCTTTTTTCTTTTTCTTTTTTGTGCCTTTGATTGGATAATTTCAAGTGATTGCCTTTGAGTCCCTGTTTCTTCTGCTTTATCAACTGTGCTCTTGAAACTCTTCATATGTAATTTTCAATTCAAACATTGTATTCTTCAGATCCAGAATTTCTGTTTGGTTCCTTTTTAAATTGATTTTCTCTTTGTTAAGCTTCTTATTATATTGCTTTCTTGATTTTGTTTGTCTATCTGTGCTCTCACTGCACTTAAGATGATTATTTTTCATTTTTGTCAGGCAGTTTGTACAATACCATGTCTTTGGGGTCTCCCTTAGAAGCTTTGTTTTCTTCCTTTAGTAGTGTCACGTTTCCTTGATTCTTTATGTTAACTAAAGCTTTGCATTTCTGCCTTCACATTTGAAGAAGTAGCCATATTCTCCAGTGTTTATTCACTCACTTAGGGAGAGAAAGAAGCCAGTCACCAGTCAGCTGAGCTAGAGTTTTGGGGTCTCTCAGAACTCTTCTGTGGGTATGCTCACTCCATTCCTCTTATTCTCTCATTGGTGGGACAGCTTAGGATAGCATGCCTTCTCTCAATCCCACAAAACCAGTCAATGTGTGAAGAGCCCCCCATTTATTTTCCCTAAGGCAGTTCCCTGAAGTCTTCAAGATTGTGCACTTTCTCCCAGTTCGACAGAGTCAAGCCAGCTGCTGATATCTATGTGCTGTTTGCATGGTTGTGCACACTCTTATTGGAGGCTCACATGCACCATGTGCTGGGGAGTGTGGTGTGCCAGCTACAGGGGGTGTGTGTGGAGTGCTGGGGGTGTTCATTGGCTAGTTGTGGGTGTCCTCAGGTGAGGTGTCCTATTAGTTCTTTGATGGGGCTCTTGGTGGAGTCTGCGAGCCAGTCAATATATGTGGCTAGTTGTTGTGATCCATACACTGGTTTCTGTGAGCTCTCATCCATTTTCCCTACTCCTAGGTGTCCCCATACTATTCAGCTATACAAATCCCCTCAGTGTTCTGGGTGGGGTGAGACAAAAGTGGGCTTTCTTGGGCTGGGTCTTACAAGGTCGGGGAAACCAGGCTCTCACATCACTTTCATTTTCCCCTGTTGGAGAAATCATGGTTCAAGAGGGTCTCTCTAGGCATTGAGCTGTGCCACCTTGGGGGAGGGGTGATGTGTGTAAAGTGGAACTGTTCTTCTCACCCCCTTCAATGCATCTACTCTCATATTTGTTGTTCCACCAGAGGACTCGAACCTTTCAATTGGGTTCCTAGGCTCCAGTAAAGGTATTCTCATCCATGGTAGTTGTTAAAATAGGTGTTTCTGTGTGGGTGTTCAGCCTGGAGTCTCCTATTCTTCCATCTTGCTGATGTTACTCTCCTCTTCTTTTACACTATCAGACATAGTATAGTCTTAATTATTCGTGTTAACTGTAACCGTGTTCTGATATACACAGTACTTTCTTTACTATGCAGTCCAGGCTGGTGTGGGAGTCAGAGGCAGTAAATTAACACACCATCCCTAGTTCAGTTTTGTAAAGGGACACAGCCCTGACCATGAATTACATATAACATACACAAACTCACAGTCTTGGCAAGAATAAAAATAAATTAAAGACTAAGACAAAAGCAAAATCAAAGCATGTTAGGAGAAAACACTCAGGAACAAGGAGTCAACAATTTTAAAGTTTTATGACCATTTGGGAATTAAAGAGCTAAGGAAAGAAAAATGAACACCCATCAATGGAGGAGTAAGTAGGATGACAAAACTTGGTTCAAAGAGCATTTCAGGAACTTAGTATTTTTCAGTATTGAAAAAGAAGTTGAGTGAAAGAAACCAATCTGAAAATGTTACATACTGTATGATTCCAACTAAATGACATTCTGGAAAAGGCAAAACTATGGAGACAGTAAAGATCAGTGGTTACCAGGGACCGAGGGGGAGATGAATAGGCAGAGCATGAAGGAATTTTAGGGCAGTGAAAATACTCTTTGTGATACCATAGCAATAGATACATGTCATTATACATTTGTCTAAGCCCATACACCACCAAGAGTAAACTTTAATGTAAGCTATGGACTTGAAGTGATTATGATGTATCAATGTAAGTTCATCAGTTGTAACAAATGTACCACTCTAGTGGGAGATGTTGATAATGGGGGAGACTTTACATGTGTGGGGTAGGGGTTATATGGGAAATCTCTGTACTTCCCCCTCATATCTTCTGTGATCCTTGAACTACTGTAAAAAATAAAGGCTTAATAACAAAAGAAATTGCAATAAAGTAAGATTGCCATTTATACACATTTGTAAAAGGAAGCATATTCTGAAGAAAGTATTAGTACTTTCTCATTATACTTAAATGTATTTTACTTTAGAAATAATTTTGATCATTGGTTTTGATTTGAATGTTAACTACATAAGCTTGGGTGATACAAGTATTACATCTTGTCTTCTCACCTATCACTTGGAGAATTTGTGTCAAATTTACTACAGGTAGCAAATACTTATTGACAAAGTGAGAAGAAGTATACAGAAAACCCATTTGGGGAGGTGGGTGAATGTGAAAGGTGGGCCTCTAGGGCTTTGAGAGCTAGAATAAATTTGATGTAGTTTGCATAGGATAGTGATGATAGCCATGAGGACTTGGGGCTACAGAAAGCAAACCCTGGAAGCTATCATCTAAAGAATAAGTGCTAATGAGATCAGAGATATATACTTGGGGAAGTTTACTTTGTTTTTATTTTTATAGTTGTTTGGAATGTGATATGTGAAATAAATCTTCTCCTATCTGTCCTTCAATTATCTTCTTTTAAAAATCTACCAACTGTTTTCTAAATGATTCTGATGCATATTTATTGTTTTGTGAATTGTTGCTGATTTCTGCCTTAAGAATGGCATAAGGAGAAATCAGAGGCTGCCCATGTGAGCATAGCCATACTGGGTTGAATGTAATTTTTATATTAATTCTTTAGCTCTTACTTTCTTTTTTATAGTTATAGTAGTTTGTTTATCTTTGAGTTTCTCATGTCTCTCATAAGTATTACCCACTCCTTTATGCACAATAAATTCAATCACCTAAATTTCTATGCAATGGTTAAGTAGTTCTCAAGAAGACAATTTCCACATTCCTCGTAGCAACTTAGGAAAAAATGAATGGAAATTTAAAGCCTGAAGAGAAATAAAATTTGCGTATCATAGATAGGTGATATTTTCTTATATTCTTTTTCCCTCTAGATAAAACCAGCTAATATACGTTGTAGGAAACCATTTGATGCAGATTGTGATTTTCCTGAATATTGCAATGGGATTACCCCACACTGTGGGCCTGACACTTTTGCACGCAATGGACAACCTTGTGATTCAGGTCAGGCCTACTGTTATGAAGGACGATGTCGGATGTTTAACAAACAATGTAAAGATTTAATCGGAGGAGGTAATGAACATAATTTTCTTCTTAGTTCCTAAGTTCTGATTATTCCAAGCTCTGTTATCCAATTCTATAGAGCAAAAATATAAATGCAGTTGTTAATGAGTGTAGTCTTGCCTAGTGTATATTAGTCTTAAAGGAAATCAAATTCTTGATTCTGAATTTATATGGAATTCTCCTTTGCACAAGGAAGAAACCCCAAGTGGAAATACAGCTTCCTGGAAGATTATATAGAATTTATGGTGGTGGACTTTAGTTTACACTTAAATGAAACAAGAATTTTTGCTAGAACAAAGCACAGCTATCAGTAATATGTTGGATTTCAAGAGTGGTTCTGGTCAAAGAGGCTTGCTGATGATTGGGGGCTTCAGCTTATGACCTGTCTAGTCCAATTTGATAGCTTCCTGTAAATGTGTGGACCATTAGCTTCATTGAAATATACAATTTACTGCACATATGCAGTTCATGTTCTTTGAGAGAGTGAAATTTTTCTTTCTCAGTCCTCCGTTTAGGCCTTCTTTAGCCAGGTCATAGGCAAGAACTCAAGTATTGTCTAGGTCGATATGAATGCCAGGAATTTAAGGAGGAGATGAAATAGTTGCACCATCTGGCAAGACAATGGCTACATTAAAGCAGTATTTAAAACATAAGTGAGATAGAAACAAATTACCAGTAAAATTAGTAGGAGCATAAAAGTACCCCAGATCTATGATTCAGTGTTTCCCGAAGTAAAACCAGGAAAATAAATCTCAGTGCTGGCCAGATAAATTTAGAGTGGGGTAGTGGGATGTCAGCTAGGTATTCCCCCAGGTTATTTATCTTATTTACTGTTTCTTTAGGATTAGCAGTGATTTCAAGTGATTTTAAAGCCCTCTGTGAGAATGACAGGTTTTCTCCCAAAATAGTACAGATTTCTTCTTAGAGGCAAGTATAACATCTAAAGCATCTTAATTTTGAAGTAATGTCTGTCCGATCCTAGTGATCACTTGTGTTAATGCATCTAGGACATGATAAGTCTGGGTATAGCAATCAGCTTTTGTACTTATTTTTGGAAAATAATCCCATTATGTAAGCCTCCTGCAGAGCTTGGGCAAAAAAAGAAGCTGTTGAAAATTTGCCCAAAATCATCATTGTATTTCAATCCAAGTTAATTTTAATTCTTTGACTGGGGCATCTATGGACACTAATTAACTAGAATGGTCTTGATTAGGGTTTGATATAATTCTGAAGTAGGCATTAGCTTTCTAAGATAAAAACCATATGTGATGTATAGGCAACAGCCAATAAAAATCTTATTCCACAGACCTAATACACGTCATCACATGTCACCAAATTATTGACTTCTGGCTAACATACGCTTATGCGGTTGTAATATTGAATGACATTATTCATGAAGCAATATCATTTAAAGTAGAGAAATCTATATATCTCTGGTAAAGGACCTTGATTTTAAGTAGTAAGTCCTTTGTTTTTTCTGTTAGATCAATAAAGGCACTTTAACTGGAAATGTACTTCCTTTTTCTAAGCTCCTAACAAAATTTTGTTTTGGTAAGTGTCTAGTCCCCACAGCATGCTCTACAGTGTTATTTCAGTACATGTAGATACTTCCTATTCTTGGCGTAATATAAATGATGATAAAGTTTTTGTGTCATTTAGTTTATGGTGATGTTTGTCCTCTAGAAGATAGAAAGTCTCATTCATTGTAAAGTTGCATACATTATTAAGGGAATTTGCCACAAAATTGAGTTGTGTGGCACCTAAAGTGATGTGATTACAAAACCAACAGTTATGTTGTGGATTCTCAGCCTTAGCATTATTGATATTTTAGGCCAGACATTTTTTTCTTGTGAGAGGTGGAGGTGACGGGGATTGTGCTGTGCATTGTAGCATATTTAGCAGCATTCATGGCCTTTGCCTACTAGACACAATGCTTGCAGACATTTTTGATTTTCTCGAGTAGGGTGGGATTGATACTGGCTTCTAGAGGGTAGAAGTCAGGGATGCTGCTAAACATCCTACAATTCACAGAACAATCCCTACAACAAAGAATTTTCTCACCCCAAATATAAGGACTTACTAATGTCATCTTAATAATTGCTTTCTGTCTGTTTTTTTGGAAGAAAATATTTGCAAGTCACATATCTGATAAGAAATTAATATCAGAATATATAGAAAACTCCTAAAATTCAACAACAAAAAACAAACAGCCCAATTCAAAAATGTGCAAGGGACTTTAAGAGACATTTCTCCAAAAAAGATATACAACTGGTTAATAAGCATGTAAAAAGAAGCTCAACATCACTAATCAATAGGGAAATGCATATCAACACTACAGTGAGATACCACTTCACACCCATTAGAATGGCTACTATCAAAAAAACAGAAAACAACAAGTGTTGGTGAGGATGTGGAGAAATGTGAACCTTTGTGCTCTGTTGGTGGAAATGTAAAATAGTACAGCCACTGTGGAAGATGGTATGAGGTTTCTCAGACAATTGAAAATAGAATTACCATATGACCCGACAAGTCTACTTCTGAGTATATCCACAAAAGAATTGAGAGCAGTGTCAGGGAGAGATATCTGTACACCTATGTTCACAGCAGCATTATTCACAATAGCGAAAACTTGAAAGCAACCCAAGTGTCCATCAATGAATGAATGGACAAAGCAAAATGTGGTATGTACAAACAATGGAATATTGTTCAGAGTTAAAAAGGATGGCAATTTTGCCATATGCTAAACATAGATGAACCTGAAGGAAATTATGCTAAGTGAAATAAAGCAGTTATAAAATGATAAATACTGTATGATTCCACTGATATGAGATACCTAGTATTGTCAAAATCATAGACACAGAAAGTGGAATGGTCGTTGCCAGTGGCTTGGAGGAAGGAGAAATAGAGAGTTATTTTTTAATAGGTATAGAGTTTCAGTCTTACAAACTGAAAAGAGTTATGGGGATTAATGGTAGTGATAGTTGCACAATGATATGAATGTATTTAAAGCCACTGAACTCTACACTTAAAAATGGTTAAGATGGTAAACTTTATGTTATGTGTATTCTAACACAATAAAAAAATTGTGGAAAAACAAACAAAACCCAATTCATTTGATGTATGGAAACTCTCTCTCTTTAGAATTCTTTAAAATAATCCAACCAGAAAATTTTAAAGCTTTATTGCATTATTTCCTTACTCTGAAGCCCATTAGCAATCAATGTTTTACTCTTCTAACATCATATTTTGTGTATTTACATCTAAGTCTTTAATTTATTGAAGCTTGGGAACGGCTTTTCACCATCTTCTGTTCTTCCTTGAGTGTCTAAAATAGACTTGATACTTAAATATTTGTGGATTTTTTTTTAAAAAAGGAGGGATGTCTTATGCCACCACAATGCTGGCATCATTCCCATTAGCATTTCATGTAGGGTGTGTGTAGTAGTCATGAACTCATTCAGCTTTAATCTGTCTGGAAAGATTTTATCTCCCCTTAATTTTTGAAGACCAGTTTTGCCAGTTATAAATTCTTTGTTGGCAGTTTTTTCTTACAGCTCTTTGAATATATCATACCATCATCTTCTGGCCTGTAAGGTTTCTGCTGGAAAATCCATGCATAGTCTGGAGGTTCCCTTGTATATGATGACTCACTTTTGTTCTACTTTCAAAATTCTCTATTTGTCTTTGAATTTTGACAATTTGATTATAATGTGTCTTGGTATGGATTTCTTTGAGTTCAACTTATTTGAGGTTCTTGGTCTTCCTGCATTTGGATGTCCATTTCTTTCCTCCAATTTGGGAAAATTTTTAGCCATTATTTCTTTGAATGTGCTTTCTGATCATTTCTTTCACTATTCTTCTTCTGGAACTCCCATAATGCTTCTATTAGTCTGTTTGAGGATGTCCCATAAGCCCCTTAAGCTTTCTTCACTCTTTTTCATTCATTTACTTTGTTTGCTCTTCTTATTAAATAATTCCCAATGTCCTGTCTTCAAGTTTGCTGATCCTTTTTTCTGCTTGATCTAATCTGTTGTTGTACTCCTCTAGTGCATTTTCCAGTTCAGTTAGTGTATTCCCAGCTCTATGATTTATGTTGTTACTTAGGGATCTGGAGAAATGGATCAACTCTTTCTCTCCCAAGGTGGAAATTGAGAGCTGGGATTGTTCATCCACTCACTTTGTGGTGAGCACTGGAGGGTACTATTGGTGTCTACTAGACCAAGCTACCACCTCTGTTGTCCCCTGAGCAACTAGACTGTGAAGACCCATGAGAGCTTCCAGAACTAGCAAGACAGATTCCAGTTCTTGGGGCAGCCACCTTGTAAATGTATGGGTGCTGGACCTACAAACAAATCTCTTCTCTCTGCTGGGTGCAGCTGGGAGCTAGATGGTCTCTTCCTGCCTGTAAGGCACTGTGCAAGTGTAGGGTCTCTGATGAGAAAGTGTCCTGAATCTCTTTACAGACTTCATTGAGTCTGGTTTTGCATTCCCCTGGAGTAAAGGAGCCTTTCATTCAGTTTAGGATTCATCACAAAGGGAATTTCTGCATGAATTGTTGCTGAGGCAGTGCATTTGTAAGAGGGAAGGAGAATCCAGGGCTTCCTACACTGCCATATTGCTGGTGTCTTTCTCCCTCTGGAATACCCCTCCCCCCCGCCAACATTATTGATATAATTGACATATAAAACTGTGTAAGTTTAAGGTGTACACTGTGTTGATTGGATACATTTATATGTTGCAAAATGATTAGAACCATTAGCATTGGCTAACACCTCTATCCTGTCACATAATTACCATTTCTTTTTTTCTAGTGAAGACTATAAAAATTTATTCTCTTACCAACTTTTAGGTATATGATACAGTAACATTGGCTATAATCACATGCTGTGCATTAGATCCCCAGAATTTGTAAATATTATAGCTGGGAGTTTGTACTCTTTGACAAATATCTCCCTATTTCCACTACCCAAAGGCCCTAATAACCACCACACTACTTCCTTGTTTCTCTG